TCAAAACAAGTATTAGGTACTTCATGTACTAGTATATAAATTCATCAACACACAAGTAAATGATTTTTAAATATATTCAGAGCCAAAAAATCTTTGTGCATTTAAAAAAATTGCCGATACGGATTCACTATTGCAGGAAATTGTTGAAAAAATATATATCGCGTATAGGTATCTACTACTATCGACGAATACATTTGGCAACAACGCGCAACATATGCGATGTTGCCGTTCCGGCCGAGACCATGCCGGAACGGCAACATCGCATATTAGAATACAAAGATAGTGATAGAAAGAGAGAGACAGTGGAATCAGCAATATCTACGGATCGTGGCTGGATCAACTAAGTGTGCAAGTTTATATAAATGTATATATATATATATATACATTTGTCTTTAATTCAAAGGAAATATAAATAATGAACGCATCACATTTAAAACAGTATAAATAGTTAATAATTTAATAATAAGTTAATAGTTTAATAAGTACGTACGTAATATTATCACATGGTAACAGCACGTATTATGGCAAAAATAAACATCGGCTGATTTGAAAAGATTTATTATAGTAATAATAGTAATCTCAGGACAATTCACACAGCTTCATCTAGACCCAAGTTAAGCTAGCTGAAGATTATGTTATGGGTACTAGACAACTGATATAAATACAAAGATTTTTTTTCGTAAATACATATATATTATCTATACATAGAAAACACCCAGACCGTTACAAACAATCCTACTCATGAATACAAATGTTTGCAGCGTGCAAGGAATCGAACCCTCGACCACCAAGCAGGAATCAAAGCAGTGTGCTAGCTAAATCGCTAGACTACCGACAACTAGCTGTACACGCGACTTCGTCCGCGTGGAATTTAACTTCTTATATTTTAGAAAAATAAAGTTAAATTTCACACGGACGAAATCCCGTGTACAGCTAGTCATCAATAAAAAAACACGTAGGTATCTCTAATATATTATACAGTAGCTGTTCCCGCGACTTCGTCCACGTGGTTTTTAACTTTATTTTTCTAAAATAAAAGTAGCCTAAGTTACTAGGTAGTAGCCTTATTACATCAGCTACCTGCCAAAAAAAGTCCCGTCAAAATCGGTCCAGCCATTTCAGAGATTAGCCGGAACAAACAGACAGACAGACAAAAATTGTAAAATATGTTATTTTGGTGTATTATGTACCGTATTTATATTCATATGCAAGTAGTAAAAAACGGTTATTTCAATATTACAAACAACAGGCTTCAACATTCTCAAGTACCACAAAAAAGATGTTTTTATTAAAAACAAGCTGTTCCCGCGACTTCGTCCGCGTGGAATTAAACTTTATTTTTCTAAAATAAAAGTAACCTAAGTTACTCCTTATAAATCAGCTACCTGCCAAAAAGAAGTACCATCAAAATCGGTCCAGCCATTTCAGAGATTAGCCGGAACAAACAGACCGACAGACAGACAGACTAAAATTATAAAAATTGTTATTTTGGTATATGTACCTTATATATATTCATATGCATGTAGTAAAAAACGGTTATTTCAATATTACAAACAGACACTCCAATTTTATTTGTATGTATAGATGTATAGATTATTATTTATTTATTTATTTATTCATCCAAAATAATACAAATTGTGTAGGATAACGTAATAGTAACATTACAGTAAAATTTTGTCAACAACATAATAGCAACTTAAATATTAAATCTCGGTATATCTATAGACTAGCTGGCCCCAGCGACTTCGTCCGCGTGAAATTTTATTTTATTTTTCTAAAATAACAGTAGCGTAAGTTACTCCTTATTACATCAGCTACTTGCCAAAAAAAGTCCCGTCAAAATCGGTCCAGCTATTTCAGAGATTAGCCGGAACAAACAGACAGACAGACAGACAAAACTTGTAAAATATGTTATTTTGGTGTATGTACCGGATTTATATTCATATGCAAGTAGTAAAAACGGTTATTTCAATATTACAAACAGACACTCCAATTTTATTTACATGTATAGATGTATAGATTAAAAAAAAAGTAACAGTCATAAGGCTAGTCGTATGCCTAATATATATAATAATGTAATAAATTCATTTAAACAGAAATTGCGGCAACATTATTTAAATTTGTAACTTTTTTACTGTCCTTCTCCATTTTTCACATCTTTCTGTTATATCCCTATAGTTCTCTCTATATTTTCTGTTTTTCTTACTTTCAATTTGAGACTGTACTTATAATTTGATTATCAGATCATTATGTATTTATTAGATATTAACTATTATATTATGCATAAAAATATTTGTAATAATAAAGAAAATACATTTAAAATGTTTTACTTGTTGTGTTAGTTATTTATAAGATCTTACTATAATTGTTAGCTGCTTTACAATTTAGAAAGTACAATAGGTAATGTAAATTAAAATTAATTGAATACTTAACAACGTTTTGTCCGATTAAATTCATTTAATTATTAAAATAGTTAATTTAAAATTAGAATAAAGACAAAAAAAAAAATAACAAAAAAAAATCGGTGGCGGGAATCGAACCTTGAGCGTCCGTTTGGTAAGTTGATTTGAAATTCAAAGGCTTATTTCTTCGAAATTACTGGTCATTTTGAAATAATACTTAGGGTTCGCATACCCTTATCGGATACTACTACTACACGGAGTTTCGTCAAAATAAAATATCTAGGTTAGGTATAATAAATTCATAATTAATAGACCGTTACGGTATCTGTATATATTCGGATCAAAACAAGTACTATGAAATAAGAACGAGTATATAAATTGATTAACACAAGTAATTGATTTTTGAAATATATTCAGAGCCAAAAAGTCTTGTTTCTTTATTTATGTACTTGTTAGATGCGACAGCGACTTTGTTTTATACTATACTATGTAATGATTGATATACCTAAAATAAATAAAATATCTGAGGTTTGGACAAAAACTCAAAGGGTAATTTATTTTGAAAAAGTATTTTGAAAATACCTATTTTGCTTTTAGTGTTATAGTACTTTAACTGTTATGTTTTAAGTAACAATGTTTAATTATAATTAATACTACTGCACCAACACTCCGATCGTGCAAAAAAATTTGCTGTTTCATTATTTTTTAGTTCAATTAGTGGTCTACCTAAGTCCTGGGCTAAGAGGGGGGAGAGTCATGACGCCCCCATGACTCCCATGACCTCCATGACGCTCCCCCCTGGATCCGCCGTTGCGTCTTCTCTTTATTCGCTCAGTAACTTTGTTACAAAAGAAAAGATTCCCGTCCAAAAAATAATAAGTATTGAGGTTTGATCTGGAGTCACGTTACTCCAGACTGATTTCTATAAATATTTAGATTAGATAGACTATTATTCTTGAAATACTAGCTAGACATTATTAAGTTACTGTAGCCATAATGTAGTAGCCCAAACGTGCCAATGAGGAAGCCCTTGGCAAATGCTGAACCCTGATTGGCCCGTTTGAATTGGATCAAGAACTGCTCGTATGCCAAAAAGGTGGATTTGTATAAAATCGTGTATAAATCGCTTAATTATTATTATTACTCGTCGTGACAGTTGTGGCTCAAAACGGATCAACATTTATATATGGTCAGCTGGCATTAGATCAACAAAAGGCCTCCGGATCAACAAGTGAAAAAGGATCAACAAAAAACTACCTATACGGCACGTCTGAGCCACAAAGTGCCCAAGGGGATATTTATATATATATATATATATATATATATATACATATATATATTACATATCTAACTGCAATTTCGTATGAGACTGTAGTGACCACATCAGTCTATTTGCATTCATTTTACAATCTAATTTAAATGAGTAAGGTTCTAACTACAGCAACAAAAACAATTTGGGACTACAAAGGCACCCAAATAAATTCGTTGGGCAACTTACAATATCTGAAAACGTATGATTAAAGAAATGTCGTGATATATTTCATCAAGATAGTCAGACAGGAGATTTACTTAACAAAAAAAGAGGCTACTCCATTGGGAGCGGCTCTCTACCTGTCATATACCACCACATCTGCTTATACTCCAAGCAATCAGTTATGATTATAAGATTTCTAATTGAGAAAAAAAAGCTAGAGCAGTTTCTTGTATGTCATTTTTGTCTCAAAACTATAATAGGAACTTAAGGTTTACTTGACTGATCATAAGTATGTAATGGGCCTTTTGAATCAAAATATTTTGATTAGATTTAAATTGGCCTTCAGCACGTATATAAATCCAGTGGTTTGGAATTTCATCAGCTATATATTAGGTCATTTACTACTATAAACCCCAGCAATAGTATTAGAATAGTTCGTAAAAATAAAGCGTAAAGTTTGGATCGGGAGACCTTCTTTAAAATTAAACGGCAGACGAACCAGTGGGGTGTATCTAGTTATATTATACCAACATAAATTTCTATTAGGGATTTCTTTGAAGTAATTTCTCGTAGGGAGGTAGTTAAAAAGAGAGCAACTCAGCTGAGACCGACAGCTGTGCTAGACGTGCTGCGTCGTAATGGGTTCGTTTTATTCAGACTTCACAAGATATTGTACTTTTTTGTTTCGCTTCAAATGACTTATCATTTATTTCTCCGAATAATCTTACTTGGTATTATTACTTATTTTGCAATTACATAGCACATTATTATATTGTAACAGTATATATTAAGAAATATAAAAAAAAAACACTTTAATAAAAATCCAACGTAGTTTTTTTAGATAATTGGTAGTTCAAACCTGATGGCAAGTGATAACCCTAGCCTGTATACATAAACAGCACCACGGACGTCAAGTTTTCATGTCATACCCATGTTACTTCTTATGCGCAGCCCTTCCAGAGGACTACGATATACCTTCCAATTTCACTGCCTTATGTCAACCGAAATACATACAAAACAAATCACTTAGCAGCTAAAATACTCAACCTAGAGGTTATCATGAGGTGGGCAGCTTTTTAGCATTTTAATTAAATAGAAATAATGTAATAATTCTTTACTTTCAGAATTAAACGATGCTCTCAAAACAGCGCGGACACAAGAGATCAAGATTCCTTTTGGCGTTGGAGTTGCGGGTTTGGCAGCGCAGACCAAACATCCAATCAACATTAGAAATGCATACGCAGACCCGAGGTTAGTGAAAATAATAATAATGTAACTTCAACAATTTACACAACGCTATCTAGTCCCAAATTAAGCCGAGCTTGTTACATGGTACTGGACAACTGACAAAATACTTAGATATTTTTATTTGTAAATTCATACATAATATATATAGAAAACAAGTTCTACAAATATTTCAAACCTAAATTATCCAAATCGATCCAGCAATTCCCGAGTTTTAGCGAGAATAACAAACGTCATTTTAATTATATATATGTAATAATATATATATATATATATATATATATATATTATAGAATGCTCAAGCTCCTGTCAGTATCAAAGCTTTCATTATATTAATTTTACATTACGTTTTCACGATAAAATTAGGTGCCTGACACTATTTATAAAAAATCCGGCAGAACACGAAACTGTTTTGTTACCGTGAAATTATTGCACGCATTACGAAAATGTAGGTTTCTGTTTGAAACTATTAATTAAATTATTTAATCGACTTATAACGACAACTGAGCGTGTTACTACAAAACTTACATTAATGTTTAACTAGAAATATTTATTCATTTCTAACGGCCTTGCGCCGCTAGATCACCTAGCGGTTTAGCAAATCGGTTTTACTTGCGATGATCGCGGGTTCAATTCTTCGTATGGCACAAAAATTTATATTCATCGGTATTGATGGTGACATTTCCTACGTATACTATGTATGTATTTTAAAAGACATTTAAGTATTATATCTATATATATACATATATATATATATGAGTTGCCTAATACTTATAACACAAGCTACGCTTAGCTGGCACTAAGAGCTTTGTGAATTGTCCTGAGTAATTATTATTATGTCTTACTTACTTCGTAAACTAAACTACCATTTGTATGGGTATTTTTATTAAGTCTTGAAACATTTTGCGATCAATTTTTCTATATGAAACTACATTCAGATTGAGCGATAGTATAAAAGTTACCTAAGTTAGTCAAGTTAGTTAGATTTGTCCAAAAGTGCGTAAAATGAAGTTTATTTGGATAACCATTATTCCTATTTTTCTGTAGGTAAACTAAAATTAGGGACAAAATAAATTAATTACAAGTTAATGCTAATATACCAATTTAAAAAAAATGTCAACATACTATTTCATGAAACTATATCTATGGAATGACCGTATAAATACAATCTGCTAAATTCCAATCACTAAAGGGTATTTTATTAAATTAAAAAAAATTTTTTTCCACAGATTCAATAGTGAAATTGACGCCAGAACAGGTTACAAAACAGAGTTGATACTATGCATGCCGATATGCAACTATGAAGGGGACGTGGTTGGTGTCGCACAGATTATCAACAAAACTGATGGTATGTCTGCGTAAATATTACTTAATTACTTAAGTGGATACTTAATTATAGCTATGTTATCATAATTCTATAAACGAGGCAAGATTTGATTTAGTCACTGAGTTAATTTTATTGTTCTACTAAATTTAAAATAAGAACTAAGAAAGTTCTCAATTTAACTGTATCGTTTTATGTGAATTACCTCAGAATTATTAACAATGTATAGCAATTTTGATGATTTCTTCCTTATTGGAGAGATAGTGTTTCTCGTATGTTCCCACAGCTATTTAATCAATATTTGATCAGTATTTTTATTTTATAGATATATCCTTAATAGTCTGTTTTTACGTCCTCATTACTTCTGAAGACTGCCTTGTTGTCGCAATTTAATTAGTCTAGCATTGGATGGATGTAAAGTAAACATAGACATTATTATATTTATAAGGCGTTTATTCGAAGCAATGCCTATTAGGTGAAATTTATTACGTTTTTTATTATCCTACTTATATACTGATGTGCATATTTGTCTGAGTTTATAATAGAATTTCGTTATTCTATATTTTATTATTTCACCTTTTTCAGGAGCTCTAGAATTCTCTCCTCGCGATGTTGAGGTATTCCGCCGTTACCTCACGTTCTGTGGTATTGGCATCCAGAACGCTCAACTCTTCGAAACCTCGGTATTGGAATACAAACGGAACCAGATTCTTCTAGCATTAGCTAGAAGTATATTTGAAGAGCAGAACAATTTGGAATGTTTAGTCACTAAAATCATGACGGAAGCGAGAGATTTGTTGAAGTGCGATAGATGTGCTGTATTTATCTTAGACACGGACCATTGTGAGTCGGTAAGTTGTTTAATCACTAGTTTTAGATGCGGCTTCGTTCGTTATTTATTTCCTTATAAGAAGTGTATATTATTTACAATACAAATTATCCTATATCACTCTTAGGATCAATAAATATCTCTGTAGGAAAATTCACTTTGATCGATTAATCTGTTTTGATGTGAAAGTGGGACAAACAAACATACATTCGCATTATAATACCAAGATATCAGTTGTGTATGCGCAGCTGCTATATATGATCCGTAATTGCTTGCAGCGTTAAATAATTCAAGTATTGATTGATTTAATGAAAAATAATATTACGATTACCTGAAATAATTGACAATAACAAGTCAATAATAGCCTTAGTGGCTACTAATTACCAATATGATAATACTTAATACGTCGTCAGCTTTCGGTTTCATTGACAAAATTAATAATAAGAATAATAATTACCCAGGCCAAGCCACACAACGCCATCTAGTACCAAACTCAGCAAAACTTATGTTAGGTACACCTAAATAATGAGATAAGCGTCTAACGTTTTAGCATAGGGCCTTACTACCGATGGTCGTGGATTAGATTATATTAGTTAGATTCCTTACACAGTATAAAAATTTGTATGCATAAGTATAATTGTTTGTATTTCCTATGTATATTATGCATGTATTTACAAAAAGTTGTGCCTATTATTTATATCAGTAGTCTAGTACCCATAACACGGGCCCTGCTTGGTTTGTGGCTAGATGACGTTGTGTGAATTATCCAGGATTTTTATAATTATCTTACCTTTCATTTCCACTGCTGTGACTTCCGTTCCGAATTTACAGTGGCAACCGCTCTGATACAGTAAACGATGAAACCCATGCGATTCCTCGGGGAAATCTAAAGATGTCTCATAAATTGACGACGGCTTTGATCACTAACACCGCTGAAATTAGGCAATAAGAAAAAAAATATTTTCTCAAATGATTTCTTCGTACCCCATTTTATTTTGTTCTTTGTGTAGAAACGGATGACGACCTAATTCATATAAATATGCAATTTAGGTAACTAATAAAATTTGTGCAAATAACTCGGATTGTACTAATTCAGGCATTTTATGAATAAATTCAGACATTTATGAAAAATCTATCTTAATATAACAACTATCTATACATATAAATAAAATTAGAGTCTCTGTTTGTAATATTGAAATAACCATTTTTTACTACATGCTTATGAATATATATATACGGTACATATACCAAAATAACATTTTTTATAATTTTTGTCTATCTGTCTGTCGGTCTGTTTGTTCCGGCTAATCTCTGAAATGACTGGACCGATTTTGATTTTTTTGGGCAGGTAGCTGATGTAATAAGGAGTAACTTAGGCTTTGTTTTAGAAATAAAAGTATAAAAATAAATTCCACGCAGACGAAGTCGTGGGATCAGCTAGTCTTACTATAAAAATATTTTTGATCTAGAGATTAGTTGTCATGATCTATTTCCTCATTATACTTTTGAGACTGTAAATATTTTATCCAACGACAATGACGAACTTCTTAGCATTAAATGAATTCACCGCGCGGAAGTCATGTACATAGTGTGGCAGAGAGAGAAACTCCGGAGCAGTTCTCAACACTTGTGACCCGGGTGTACTCGTAGGTTTAAGGGGCATTGCCGACGTATGTTAACCCTCACCTTCACCGCTCATGTTTCTTTCCCTGCCCAGCCAAATCTGGTAGCTGCTAATGTATCATTAGATATTCATTCTAATATAGAACTTATTGCAGGTTTAAACTGGCCAAGATATTTCATAAGATTGCAGAGAGATAGCTCCAACTTCGCACACATACGTATTAACCACTTAGTCATTTTTAGTTAATTCGTTAATTAGTTTCTAATATTTATTTGTTACTGCGTGGTCTTCAGGTATATTTAGAACAAGGAATTCTTTAAAGTCAGACATTTCACAAATCTGAGCGTCCTTTTTTGCTATTTGTGAACAGTATGCATTATCTAAAACTATCTTAGTTAATACAATGTTATATATTAATTATTCCAGAGCCATCTAGAACGGATTGTCCAACGTCCTGGAGGTAGACCATCAGCAGTGCCAGCGCTGCCCCCACCTGCACCCACTAGATTCAACACGCTCTTTGAACTCGGTGCCCATCAATCTAGGACTACCCTCACGCCGAGACATGACACCAAATCGACTTTAGCTTCTATTGCCTTAACGGTATGGTATACTTTTCAACTTATAATTTTTTTATTGACTGATTGATCATTCAGTCATATAAGACATTTTTGCCATTTCTGTAGTTGTTTTTATTACTTTCCTTACCGTTCTGTACGGTAGGTACTATGCTGCGCAAGGTAGTTATATATATATATATATATGAAGCGCAAACCTAGTGCCATAAAAACATGTTCAATAATTAAACATGAAGAATGGTTCCACACTTTAAAAAGATTCTTCTTACAATTTAGAATATATCATTACAAAAATACATAAAATTAAATCACTGTGGTGGGTTAGAACAGTACATTTATTATATTATAGTAAGTTACACATTATCGAGTTTGATATTGTAAATAAAATTTTGACTATTCTTTACTTATTTGTGGCCTTAGGTGTTTAATAAAAAATAAAAAAATTTTTTAGGTGGCTCAATCACACAAGGCTCTCAATATTTCGGACGTCAGCCAGTGGCGTAAAGAGAACAACATGGAGGCGGTCGATCCAGAAATTGACGACGCTATCAACGTTAGAACAATGCTGTGTATGCCTATTGTCAATGCGAATAAGGATGTTATTGGCGTGGCACAACTAATTAATAAAGTAAGTTGTATTTATTATTAGAAGTAGCAGATTTTGGTAGGTTTTTTTTTAATTTTGTCTCGTATATCTGTTTTAAAGTAATAACATAGTCTACCCAGTATTAACATAGATATCACAAATCAACATCACAAAAAACAACACTGTGTAATCTCATTCCGATAGATCACCCGTCCTATACAAACGGGGATCGAAATTACGATGATCTCAGCCGAGGTTCGAACCCACTAGGGGTTTATACTAATGCCCTCAGACTAAAATCGTATCCGTCAGGCGAGAGTTGGCTTTCAACCGCTCCACAGGTCCTTCTGCGGGTTTGGAATACCGTCTGGACTCGCCTCCTATTGTCCGGTGAAATTATAAAGGCCAGCTGCCATTAAAATAGATTTAAGAACATATTATAATATCAATGTATAATATTAAAACCATTTAGTATGGTCTTACGTATTTTTTTAAATTTTATTTAGGAATCCTCAACAGATATTATCAACTTCATTTAGTATTATATATAACTTATACCATGCATAACATTTTTTCAGGAAAATGGTTCCCAATTCACAGACGGAGATGTTTCCATTTTTGAAGCATTCGCCATCTTTTGTGGTCTCGGTATTCATAACACGCAAATGTATGAGAATGCATGCAAATTAATGGCAAAACAAAAGGTAAGTACACGTTTAATATATTTTTTATTCTTTCCTTTATTATTATTTTAATTCAGGTGCTACAGATTTATTTCTAAAAATGTCATACCGCAGGCAACACAATATTATTGTCATGTATATATTAAACTTCGTAAAAATTAGGTATCGGTCTTATTACGATATCTTTCTAAATAAAACTATACAAATAAATAAATTTATTAATGTGTATCTATATTATACTTTGTTGGTATATCGCCAGAAATATTAAGAAAATATTTAAATATTCTATAAAAATATTTTAACTATTTATTCCATAAATGGTATTAAAGTTATCTGAAGGTGACCTAAAGCAGAAAGAGAGTAGGTATTTTATTAAATTGCTCTTTTTGAAGTAACTGGAATGGAAAACAAGCTGACAATCTACTTGATGGCAAGAACAACATCATAGACATAACATCAACATGCCGAGTCCATTGTAACTCTCATACATTTACTATTTTGTAGGACTTTATGTAGACAAGACGTTATGTATTCATACTCTGTAAATTTTATAATGCGACGTTTTTTAGGTTGCGCTCGAGTGTTTATCCTACCACGCTACAGCATCAGCGGAAGATACCAACAAATTGTGCCAAGATGTCATACCCTCAACTGAAACGTACAACCTATACAGCTTTCACTTTCATGGTATGTTTATGTAATATGTATGAGTTTGTATTATATTAATAGTATTTTTAGTTGCAAATAGCTATAATTATTCACAGAGGTATATAAGAATAAAGTACAGTGTACTTAATATACATAGATCAGTGACAACAAGTATAACGGGCATGTTGATTTGGGAGATATTCCGAGTGAAATGATCTAGATTTTAATGGATATTTTTTAATAAAGTACGAACATGATGTTAAACGTAACTTTTTTAATCTATCAATATATTTTTTTAACAATGACAGAATTTATTACTCAAATACAATTATGTATATGAACCTCTATGTTCATTCAACAGGGCACAGAGTACACCTTAGCAATATGGATGCATTCCATGTCAGTATTAACCTATAATATTTATTTTATAGGTATACATTATTTATTATATTTATAATATTTACTACGCCCTTTTAATAACAGAAATACGAAAAGTTTTTCAATTGTTCGGATAACATTGTCCAAAATTTATATACTGCTTGTCTATTTGAAGGAAAAATAATTTAATATTTGATCTTTATTTCTAGTCAGCCATAGCACAGATAATATAATTGGCCATAGTCAGTCTGACCCTTCTTAATATCAGTATATTAAATTCAATTTGGTTTGGCCGCTTTCTATGTAAAATGTAGGTAGATATCGATGTTTGATATTATTATACATAGAGTTAATATTACCAGACTCCGGATAAGTAAAATGGAAGAGAGACTTCTCTTAGCTATACCAAATAATAAATTATTGTTAATGTGTGTTTTATTTCATTTCAGATTTCGATCTATCTGATGAGGATACATGTAAGGCGACGTTACGAATGTTCTTACAATGCAATTTAGTTGAAAAATTCCACATACCATACGATGTACGTATGAAATTTGTTAACTTCAGAATTAATATTGCATCAAAAATAGGTTACTAAACATATTAAACACTGCTTCATTTACTAATTAACGACGACACGATAATTACGACAAAATAAATTTAAATTTGAAGTTGTTCGTTTTCCACCTACGAGCATGTATTATCACAAAATAAAGATAATATCCATTATCTGCCAATCATCAAACCTCAATAAAATTAAGCCAACAAAATTCCAGGTTCTATGCAGGTGGATATTAAGTGTGAAGAAAAATTACAGACCAGTGAAATACCATAACTGGCGACATGCACTCAACGTAGCACAAACTATGTTTGCTATGCTGAAAACTGGTAAATTGGAGAGATTCATGTCAGACTTAGAAATTCTTGGACTGCTGGTAGCTTGTCTATGCCACGATTTAGACCATAGAGGAACTAATAATGCCTTCCAAACGAAAACTGAAAGTCCACTAGCCATACTATATTCAACATCGACAATGGAACACCATCATTTTGATCAGTGTGTCATGATTTTGAATAGTGAAAGCAATAATATTTTCCAGGTAAGAAACATTTTTTTTGTCTTATTATACAAACAATGACGTAGCGATTTCTATATTGACTGTCGCATGTATCGTCCTTGTTAATATGATTTATTTAAAATAACATTTATATTAAAAGAGCAATGCTCAAGTTTCTTGTGATGAATCAGTATTCCGAATTTGTGGTAGAAATTAGTAAAAATTCCTTATATTATTATTTGATTAGAAATTAGTTCTATTTCTTTTATTTCGAATATTTTATTTGAAGTGAACAAAACATATTTAATAATAAATAATCATATACCTTCTCGCTTCTTATCCATATATGTATAAGAGTTATTGTCACCTTTCGTCATCGTGAGCATCGCAATACTTGCGTTGGTTGGATTTGCCCCATTTCTCGATATCGGTTTTATTAATTTGGTATGTAATTGGTGTTTCTGTAACTTACGATTTTGTGACATCTCATTTTTGGTCCACAGGCGCTTTCTCCAGATGATTATAGAGATGTAATGCGGGTTGTGGAGACAGCTATATTATCTACCGATCTGGCCATGTACTTTAAAAAGAAATCAAAATTCCTAGAGCTTGTGGACAACGGGGAATTTGATTGGCAGAGTCCGGAGAAGAAAGAACGTAAGTGATACTGAAATATGTATTGCAGTATCTAAACTAAACTAATATAACACACATCATTGAAATACACAAACACTATAATATGTTATCGTATTAATATTATTGATAACTCCAATAGTTTTCCATATCAACATATATTGAAAATTGTGCAATAAACATACCTTATGACAAGATATGAGAAGTCCCCAACTACTGGCCTACCAAGCTGTTAGATATCATAATTATCGTGAATTCTCCTAGACATACATACCTCTTTTGCTTTCTTCCTTTTCATTCATTAATGTGTTGAAATCTTTATTTTTAGTATTATGCGGCATGATGATGACTGCGTGTGACGTGTCAGCGATAGCAAAGCCTTGGGAGGTTCAGCATAAAGTAGCCAAGTTAGTGGCAGATGAGTTCTTCGACCAGGGTGATTTGGAGAAACTGCAGCTTAATCAACAACCTATTGCTATGATGGACAGGTAATAAAAATTTAATTTCGTGACGTCACAATTCAAAACACATGTTGACAAATTTATTATTAACTAATTATTTATTAATTTTATTTGCAAAATACAATTGAATCTTAATTATTAGGATGACCAATTAATTCGTCCTGCACAAAACAATATGACTATATTCGTTTCAGAGAAAAGAAGGACGAACTGCCTCAAATGCAAGTCGGTTTCATTGACATGATATGTCTGCCCTTGTACAAAGTGCTATCCGATACATTTCCATGGATTCAACCGCTATATACAGGCACAATGGAGAACAGGCAGCGTTGGCAAGATCTAGCGGAGAAGGTTGAAATGGGTCTCACTTGGATAGACCATGATACCATTGATAAACCTATTGAAGAATTTACCGGTAAGAAATTCTTTATTAATTGTAGTTTTCCGTTAAAAAGATTCCTTTCAATTACACAATGCTTTAAAGTGAAATTTCTCGTTTTATTAACTGTAAAAAAATTGTCGACACAATTTTCGTAATTTCGACTTAAATCCAATTTAGATTATGGGCCTTTTTTGATCTGACGTTACGTGCTTAGTAATAATTATCAAAGTACTATATCCTGTTATTTGCTGGGATGTGCTCTATCCTTTTTATTAAAATCTATGATGATTTTCATTTCTATTTCCAAAAATAGATGTTGTACTGTACAACAACCATTAGTATTTTAGAATTGTAGAAGTCTGTACAAATATTACAGCTACAGTAAATTATAAAGGAGCTATTCTATTCAATATCATACTTAAATATACGTATAGTGATAAAATTTCTCACACATAGTGACTCAGTGGATATCTTAGTCATTAAATTAATAATAATTTAAGAGCCACGCTGTTGTCGATGGAGCTCATGACACTGCCTACGATCTTCCATCATCCTCTTGAAATGTATTAGTAACATAGTCAAATAATCTTGACTATTTTAGAACTTGTAATATTGCAGCATCTAATGAACCGATCAAAGATGTAGAACTAACTGTTACCACGCTCAACTGCGCGAAGACAATCCAAGAGTCAAGCAGTACAGCTGTGGTGAAACCAATAAAAACTTCCTTCTCGTCGCTGAGGAGAGGGAAAAGTGGGAACTTCACGTCAAGGCCAGCAAGGAATAAACTGACTAGGTAAATATTTAATAACCAAGTCAAACAAATTACATAGTTATACAATCCTCTAAATGGATTTATGAAATATATTATTCATTTTGAAGTTCTAAAGGAAAAAACAATCTGGGTAAATATTTCACAAGCAACTTTTATATAAATAACACTGTAGTACAACTTTTGGGATGGCATTGTAAAATCTAAAATATTAAACTGTCATTGGAAGTTGATAGAATAAAGACAGGTCAGGACTTGACCACAATGTTTTATAGAAGAATAGCGTTTTATCGCGTGTCAAACAAGCTACGTACTTTACACTGGTTGACCAACGAGAGAGTCCATATTATAACATTATATTTTTAAATTCCCATTCAACTTTAACCTCAGCAGTTGTAAAATTCGAGTAAAACAAAGCCTGCTGCAGATCTCTCTACGCGGCAACAAGTACACAACGCGACGTCGAGAAAGAGAAGGCGATAGTGAAGAAACCGACCGTGGTGAGTTCGGACAGCAACAACCACACGACCGTGGTGCCCGCGGAGCAGCAGAACAAAACGAAGCATAAAGGAAGACTATGTCATATGTTGTGACGATTAAGTTTTAACTGGTGAGTAAAGATTTTTCTTACATTCGTATTAACACTCTGTTTTTAAGAATAAATGTGATCTCTCAAAGTGACAGTGAAATTACAAGATACGTAGGTGATACTTAAGTCTTCAATAACAGCAATGCAGAAAGGTACTATTCTCGTTATATTACAACGCAATAGTGCTATTCCTGTATATAGGCGCCACCCACTTTATGTAAATGAACTAATTCATCGCCATTCTAGTGACGTAATAAAAGTTTAGTTTCCATAAACTGCCAGGCGTCCGGTCCAGATTAGGAAATTTAAGGAAGGCTGCATTCATTGGTTATTAGGATTATTTTTGAAAGTGAATTAATAACTTCTTAATTCCCTTCTTTACTAATTTTCAACCTTTTTTATATTTTTATAAATTTTCTGATTATAAAAAGCTTCAAAGTTTCAACTTCACAGTGCTACTCGCGATGTGTATACTCTGTGCAAGTGCAATTTTTTCTGCCATGTTGAATTCTATTGTCACTTGTTCGTGTTCATTGTATTCCCTGAGCAAGTAATCACTATGTTCTAATTGTACAATTAATAACAGAAATTACATTATGAAGGGTGTATTAATAATTATAAAATACAAAAATAATATATTTCGTTTAACAGGAGCAGTCAGAACAGCACAGAAAGAGCCGAGAAACTGGACAGAGTGAAGCCGTCCAAATCAATCGACTAGTTCAGTACCCGCTCGTGACTACGTCTTGGATGTAAAGTGATTAGCTACTACTTGTACATTTCTACTATTAGGAGACACTTCGTATTAGTTAGTGAATAATAACTTTTGTTACGGTTGATTGAATGAAATTTATTTTAAATATTCATTAATGTCAGAAAATTTATTTGCGTTACGATCATAATATTGTTGTTTGTTCACGAACAAAAATATCTTTTCATCTTTTTCATGCTTAGATATGCACCTAGGTATATATATTTAACAGTCTTCATATATATATAGGTACATACAATAACCACCAATTTGATATAGCGAAATTTTAGTACAGTATTCTGTATAAGTCTAATAAAGTGCGATAATAATATAGTGAGAATGTGTTGGTCTGATTATGGTGAAAGTCAGTTATAAGACATTGAAACTCAAAACAATTTAGTTTGGAACAACCTTTGAGGTATACGATTAATCACTTCGCAAATAGCAGTTATATGATTTTCAAATGTATTTTATTAATTCTATTGTATAAATATATTTAAATCGTGTGTCAATTATGAAATAGTTTCGCTTGTGAGAAATAATGTGAATGAATCAATAAATTTCATTAAATGAATCGTATTTCTAGTTGAACTAAAATAATTGTAGTATTTTAATCTCTTCGTCGTATTGACGGTAATAGTTTCTTGTAAACAAATTTAGGTAAATGTTTATCTATTAATATATTATTTACATAGACTGTGATCTAGTGTTACTTCACGAGATTCTATTTTAAAACTATAGACTTAATCCAGTAGGAAACGCTTGTGGCAATCATTCAACAAATACTTTTACAAATAATTAAACAGACTAAATTTAATGATATTTGAAAAATTAAACCCTCTTATTCATAAAAAGGCAATCCTCTTATTTAAAAAACCTACATTACCTATTGAATTGGTTTGTCCTTTTCTTTCCAACTACTTTCTGAATTTATGTGAAAGTGACAAAACACTATTATATTTAATATGTGTTTGATATTATGAGTAAGGGGGAAAGACCTTAAACCATGTATCGTAATGCTATGTGGCGGCTGAAAGGCATAGGTACATTCACCGTGGCACTATTTTTCTTAAGTATTAATTTCATAAATCAAATTGCCATCGTTCAACCTATCTGGTCTAAATCTTAAAATATATGTACTATTACTTTTAAAATAGAATATTCGTCTCTTGGCCTGTAAAATAACATTTACGGGGCAACCGTAAATATAAGTATGAAACTAAGAGATTTTTCATAATTCGCGACGTTATGACCTCGTTTTATTATTATTATTATTATTGAATTATTTAATAATTATTCATCATCGAAGTATTATGATGCTAGTCGATTAGTTCGTTTTGTTTATAGCGTTACCTGTAACTAAAAGTCACTCTTTAGGTACGTCCATTTTGCTTATAAAGCTATAATGTGCAATATTAAAATAGTATAAGTAATATATATATTGAATTACGCAATCATACCAAATCACTCGTCGCACATGACTGTATACTGCATTATTTTTGTGTAGGCAATTGTAAATTGTATGTGTATTTGTCTTTAAAAAAATCAATATTCTCTAAAGTATTAGTAACAGATTATAAAGCGATAAATATATACTTATCTACTTATTATGCAAACGCAATGTACCTCTATACAGTTTTAATACTTAGTTGACTGTCAAAAATCCATGTTAATATAAATGTGGAATTTTGTTCATTTCTTACCTGTTGACATCTTAACAACTCGATGAAATTTAGTCCATATTCAATCATATTTAGGATGAAGTATCAATCAATAGGTACATCTCAATTAATCGAATAAAGTCACAGGCAAAAGTAGGAATATTAAAAGTATAAATTGCATGTACCTATTCGTCAAAGTATATAATTTCGGTATATTTTTATATCGATTTGTAACAATACGTAAAAAAATGTTCAGGTGTGTATTTCCTTTACAAAGAAAGAATTAAAGATTTTTACAAATACGATATAATTGCGAAGGATCGACAAAACTTGTGCCAGTACATATTTTTAAACATTCACGTTTAGTACCCATTATTAATATAGTTAAACTAAACTATTTCAACAAGAATAGTTTTATACTCAGTCTAGAGTCAGCTCATGATTATGGCTAGGGCAACCTAGTCGAAATGTCAATAGATTACTTTTTTATTACCTTTATTTAGTATAAAATTATTCATGTTAAAACGCGTTTAATTATATTAATAATTATACAGTACAGTACATACATACATATTATTATCCACAATTTTTATAAGACAGTCTACTTATATAACGATATCATATACCTACTATTAATTAAATAGTCAGAATTAGTATTATTAATCGAAATTATTATGTTAAATACATTGTGACAAAAATAGAAACTAACAAAATACACATTAATAAAACAAAATTATAACTCGAAATGTAATGTAGCGTATCAATAAGTCATTAAGTATAAACATTTGATTAGCAAATACATGTCTCTCTTTTACTTTCAAAACGAATTGTTGTAGAAGTGTTGAAGTATGACGCATTTCGAAAGCCTTTGGGATAGAATTTTAGATATGAGGAATTTGTGCAATTTTTTCTATTGTTAACCTAGATAAATACCTAGATTTAAAAACACATATTTTTGCGTTACAAAGGTGAACTTAAAGGAAACACTGATTGCATAATGTTTATTAAATTTTTTTTTATCAAACGGAACAATCTGACCCGAAAATTGTCTTTAATTAAGAAAGAAAAACAGAAACATAAATTTTTGTACCGTATGAATTTTTTGTATTTATAATTTAAACTACATTTTAATAAGATTTCTTTTACTACGAAACCTCCGTAGTAAAAAACACTTATTCGAATCTAGTTTCATCACTTCCTTTGAACTTAAAATAAAAATATCTTCAAAATAATAGAAACAACTTTATTTGTTTTTTTTTTTTTAAATATTTTATCGTTTAAACTAAACGATAAATATTTAATATTTATAACTAATTATATTTTATTAATTTTTTAGTTAATTGTCACCTTTGTAACGTAAAAACAGTGGAACTAATTAGTATTTTCAAAATGTTGTGAAAATAGTCTTTACGTATTTACATAGTATCTTCCATGTCATTCGAAATAAATTTTCTCATGTTTTGTTTAATAGGGAAGCAGAATTTTTATGATTACCAAAATTTTCGGCTATAATAGTTAAACAATATTAAATAGAATGTACCCAGTCGACTCCATTTGAAGTATGACAACGAAATTAATTTAATAATTCAACCCAATTGTCAAATATCAAGTGGCGTCATTGTTTTGGCAAAGTTATTATTTCCAAAGATTATTTTAATTATTATACTAATCATGTATTAGCGATATTTGTCAATGTGATCAGTTCGTTATTTCTGTCAGCGAATATGTATGTAGGTGATTATTCAAATCATTAGTACCTGGTTACTAATTTTGAAATTCGAATACAAAGCAGCAGCTTCTAACAAGTTACGAATATTATTAATTTCCATAATCAAACAAACACAGTGATTTAGTAATACTGTAAGCACAACTATTATATTCAGAAAAGCGGCCGTAAATCTGGACGGTTAGGATTCATTCGTACAGACTAGTGCATGAATTAATAATGTGATGAAAACTATTGGTACTCTTTAGTAGCTACATAATTTAAAACATTTTATAATCAACTATTTTCGTTTGGTTTCAAATAAGTCGAATAATTTGGAGTGATTTTAGTGGAAGTAGCACAACCCTAGTCAGACTCAAAAGTGTAATCAAAGTAATTGTTTAAGTTTAATGGAGTAATTAATTCCTTTTATAATAGTGACAATTGTCACTCTGACAAATATCACCCATACGTGATTATGTATTAGTGAGTAGTAATTAATAAACGACACTACAAGACAATGATATTTTATTACATTTTAAAGAGATTGTTTAAATTAAATGATTGTTGTTGTATTTATTTGAGATTCTATTTTATGATGATATCTTTTTAATGTAATCTACGGTTCTAATATGAAAACGACATTATCAACACGCCCATTGCTGTTAAAAACTTGTTTTTTGCACTGTATAGCTATGTTTTTATCGCCATGCGTAAAGTACATATACAAACAATGATGAAAATATATGTAACTTATAACCAGAAACTCAGCACAGTATTCGATAATGACCAATATTCATTTTTGGATTATACCACTTACCATCTGGTAGTGTATGTTTCTTCTGACTGGCTACTATAAAAAAAACTATTGATTTGGAATCCGTAGCGAAGTCTATGAGGTATATGACTGGCCTTCATCATATAGGTTTTTTTTTTCTAAGCATGATAATGGAATGGTGCACCCTCCTGTGCTAACGATTTACGCTGGCGGGGCACTAGTGAAGGATGATAAGATGAGCATGAGGTCAGGTTAGTTAGCCCACCGCGACAAATTAATGAGGAATTTATCACGACGGTTTCCAGGGGGAACCGCGTGGAGGACAACCTGACAATTTCAATTTATTCACTAATTTTTTTTATTAAAATTTACAAGTTTAGTTGTATTCAAATTACGCTTATACGTACTACATATATTGAAGTATACAATAGTGATAGTAACAATACTGACAGATTTTTTTTCGTGCTGAAGTAAATGTATTGAGTGGGTTCGTAACAGCAATGCGCCGTGTTTGTTCAGTCAATAAATCTGTATTATATTTACTGAATGTGTTTCAACAAATAAAATATTGTGAACTACAGATGAACATATTTTTATTTCTCCCTATTTATACATAATTGAGGGAAGATTCTTACGTTTTTAGGAATAAATAAAACATATACATATACTTACAGCGATGAATATCATATTATCCGATAAAAAAACATATCGCAATACTCTGGCAGGACAAAAGTGGAGTTTGATAGGATGAGATGATGCGAAAGATGTCAGTTTACTCATTGTAGCGAAATGCCCAGAAATTAACTACGATGGTTTCCAAGAATGACCACTACCATTATTCCTGTTACTAAAAATTTCCTCACCTTAGTCCCGTACCCGTAATAGAATTTATCTTCAGCTCAAATTTCATAAAAATCCGTCCAACCACATAATATTAAAAATGTAACCAACAGACTGATAAACAGTAGTATGGAAAGGCAGCCATAAGTCGTACCTTAGTACGTTACTACTTATGTTATATTATCATCTGATCATCATGATCATGATATCAAAACTGTACTCATATACTTATCATATTTTATTAGTAATTATAATAAAATATTTCGACTTTATTAATGTTAGAGTCGTTGATAAATAAATATGAATATAATTAAAAGAACGTAATTCAAAAACTATTAAATATTAATGCAAACTATTCTTATTCTGTTAATCTTCTCTTAACTCATTTCCTAAATGCCGCCTAAATAACGCCCTTACGTATACAAGGCTTTTGCAAACCAGCTGTTCTATCAATAGCTAATATAGCTTTTATCACAATGTACAAGCATCCATTAAATTTTATATAATACGAGTTTAATTTCATAAAATTTACAAAATATCCCTGGCGCTCATATTCGCACTAACTTTGGTGTGAAAATCAGGGTAATAAGTCAGTAGGCCAGTATGAAGTCAAAGAAACTCTCGTTACTTCGTCACTCTGTTATTTAATTGAAACTAATTTACCAAACAATTAAAGAAATTTGGTAAAACATTATTTCAATAATTACGGTGTTTATCCCGGACGAACATCGTGACGTGAGATTTTAATATATATACGGATTAACAAATAATACTACTGTTATAATTACAGACACCAAAGTGGTCTTTACACCTACCTGGATTATGGAGACCGTGATTTTTTTATTGATTACTGAGATTAAACTGAGTTAATTACACATTACGTATCGCGCTACACCAGATATAATGACCAGTTATTGTTTACCGTATTATTTGCGGCTACGTAGGTAATTATTAAAAATTGAATAAAATGAAACCCAAAAAATGCGTTTTCACATTTCTTATCTTACCTTACTGCAATCATGGCCTCTTTTCTTAAGAAATATATATTAAGACAATCAAAACCAATAAAAGAAGAAAATACTGAAGACAAAGTTTGTATTTTTGTTTGTTATTACAATATACTCGTATTTGAAGTTTTATACGATGAAATATTTTGTAGTTAATACAAACTGAAAATGATAAATAAATAAATATGTTATTGTAATTTGTAACTTAAAATTAAAATTAAGTAATTACATGTAACATACTAATTTAGAAATATTCTAGGATTCGATCAAATTACGGGAAAATCGTGAAAGTAGAAAAAGTAAGACAAATCAATCATGATTATTTTGTTTATAAAAAGAATTACCTCATTTTTCTCATATTCTCAAAAAATTAACACTGTTATAAATAACAAACAGAGCCTTACTTGTTTAGATTATAATAAGAATGTAAAAAAATGTAATAATGTACGTTTGTATTATTTTGATGCTCTCTTTTTTACATCATTTTTGACTTTATTGTGAGATTTTTTATTGCATACACTTATAATTATTAGTTTTCTTGAATACTAATATAGTCGCAATATGTTTATTTAAAAACCTTATAATCAAAGTGTTTGCCTTAATTCTATAATGTATATCTGAATCAGAAAAAGATATATAAAATGAATAAATATTGATTTATATTGATGTTTATCTCTAAATGTATCTTGAAATCTGAAAATTATTTATTATTATGCTATACGGATATTTTTTTATTTTATTTTTATTATACTAAAAACTATTTAACGATAGGCTTAAACTTTATTATTAAATGGTTTGGGATATTGCCCTCCACATCCACAGAAAATTCAACAATTCTTTTTATATTACGGTTGCAAATTTTCCACATAATATTACGGAAAGCTACATTTATTTAATAAGTTTTTAGCATTAAGGTTATATAATTCCTAAAAAATACACACATAAAATTGCAGATTTACAATTTAAACGATTTTGATGAAACATTAGCTATAATAAAGAAAGTATTGTGGATTGTGGGGCTTCGTCTGACACGAAAAGACTCTGATAATGCCAGGTCTGTACATTTATTGTCATTTTTTATAGTTTAATATTAATTCGGAAAAGTAACTGTCGTCTACATACATATTGAAAAAAATATGAAACACTACATTATCGTATAAGCTACAATTTCCACTTGAGGAGCCACCGTCGTTTGCCGTGACTATACCAACAAACGAAAATCGGTGTCATGATAACCCTCTGATCGATCCCCTATAAAAATTAAACGGGCATCGAAATGACGATGACATAAGTCGATATTTGAAACCATTTGGTTTATTGGGATTTGCTTTATATTAAAATTATATAATATAAATTACTTTTTCTAATTAAACAGAAGGTTTATTTAACAGGTATTGGTTCTCTTTATTTTACTGGTTCGAAACTGCGAATGTGTTAATGGCTTTCTCATTGCAAACAATGGAAACTATCGAGGATACCAGAGGAGCGACGACTTTTGAAGATGCTACTACACTTTTCAGAATGATACCTTGTATAGGATTTTTACCACTGGGTTAGTACTAAGATCAACTGTACTTTTAATTGATTTATCTGAACGATCTAATAAAAAAGTTAAATAAAATAATTAATAAAAACGTAGTCTTGGAACTGACTTGAACTATAATATTTAATTTTAAATGGATGATAATGTACTCGTCTAAGTTTTGGTTTTCTCTAGCTCCTCTAGTGGAGAATGAGATGAGCATGAGCTCAGGTTAGGTCAGGTTAGGTCGAATAAATTTATCGGCGAAACCTCGTCGATGTTAATCTGATACTGTACATTTCACATAGTATTTATAGACTAAGAAGTATGTATTTGGGAAGAATAATAACAATACAAATTATTATTTTTATATAAATAACAGTACAAAGTTGACACGAAAAAGAATATAAAGATCAATACAAAAAAATTTAAAATATTATTTGGGATATGGTAAAAACTGACTAATACACTTACATATTTAAAATAAGTATTGTGATGAATGAATACAGAAAACATATATTTATTTCTATGTTGTAGCAATACTGAAGTCATATAAAATATTGTGCTACGAATCAGTGTATGAGAATTTGATTGCCGAGTTGCGCAGCATGTGGCCGCAGGGTAAAGTCACTGAAGATGAACACAACGTCATCCGCAAAGCGCTGAGACAACTGCAGATTGTCTTAAAAGGTAGACATTTATTATTCTTCTTAGATTTGTCATACTTGTGAACGGGTGCTGCTTATGGGAACTGGTCTGTTCGAGTTACGAACACTGATTAGACTATTTGTTTTTGACAAAATTGCAATAGCATATGCTGAAAGTCACTCTATTCTCTCAAATTTGAATTTAAAAATTAATTTGTATTATTGTAAACATGTATAGTGTATACCTTAACCATACCATACCGTACCGTACCGTAAGTTATAACCTTATTTGAAAAGAATACGAGCTGAGTTTCTCATCTTGAAACTACTCCGAACTGATGATAGGTTTCACATATCATAAGTCTGTAATAGACCTACATAAACAAAGATATTTTGAATTTTGATATTTTGAATTTGAATATATGGAAGGAAACCACTTACATTTTATTTAGTGAAAAATAACAACTAAAATTAATATGAATATTTTTTTCTGTAACTAATATATTTTTTCTAAATAGAGTGAAATATTGAGATGTCATTTTGCTACAAAAATTGAATTTCATACAAAACCATTTTAACTAATATCTAATAATTAGGTATTAGAGAGTTTAATATCATAATTAAAAGGTAAAAAGATTTGCAAAGTAAAGGACGAGTTAGTTTAAAAATGAAATTGATGGTAGATTTATTAGATTCTATTATACAAATTTCTAAGATATAATTTTTGGCATTTATTTCTAGAGGTTAACAGTAAAAAGTCATCTGCATGGGTCGCAGCTTTATTTCGTTTGTACCTTACAAAATTAAAAAAATATCAAATTTCAAAATATCTCTATTCATGTCGGTCTATTACAGACTCTTTTGATATATCTAATCTATCGTCAGTTCGGAATGATTTCGAGATGAGAAGAACTAACAAGAAACTCTGCTCTTATTTTTTTTAAATGTTGTACATATTTACAATAATACAGATTCATTTAAATTCAAATTTGGAAGTGACCACCAGTGTATGCTATTGAAAAAAAACAAAAACAAAAAATCTAATCAGTGTTCGCAACCTGAACAGACCAGTCCCCACAAGTAGCACCCGTTCACAAGTATGACGGATGAGCCAGCCATCATTGCACTCAACCATATTAGAGGGATCATATCGACCCGACTACGCCGCCACAAGTTTGAACTTTATAGCAAGCATGACTGTTTCAAGTTACTCCACTACGTCATTTATATTATTTACAGCATAAACTGTACCAATCACAGTTTTCACCCATTACAATATTTAATTTAAATTACAATATGTCATTACTTATTATTACAACTGAAGTGATTAGGCAGTGAAATTATATATAGGCAGAATGAGAGGTGATCTTCATCCTCTAGAATAGCAACGTATGAGTAACATCCCGATTATCACATAATAACATGCGTAGTGCTGTTCATATATATAGTTAAGGGTTATCAGGCGGGCTGTAAGCTATTCCAATTACATTAAAAACAATATAAAGGGTTTTATTTTTTTTCCAGGATATTACTGGTGCAACTACGGTTTAGTCATCAGCTGCGTTGCGCCATGTTACATCACAATAATAAAAAACATTTTTGGTAAAAATGAGCCTGGAGTTCTACCGTTCCTTTGGTGGGTACCTTTCGACCCTCTGCAACATATTGTATTTGAACTTATTGTACTCATACAAACTTGGCATGGTAAGTAAGTATTTAATTGGCATAAATAAAAATAACTAAATATGAATAAGAACTTGAATTAAATGTTCATTTATTTTCAGCTATTTTGGTAATGTCGTTTATATTAAGCGGAGATCTGCTATACTTCTTTTTTATAAGTCATATCACAACGCAGTTTGACTTGTTATCGATTAGAATTAATAGATTTATATTGGTTCCTACGGATGAACAACTTATTAACACTTATCCTCTTGGTAAGTACTGTTTTTTGTAACACTTTATATACCTAATATTGGTACTACGACAGATACTTTAATATCTAAACTAATATTATAGATAGGAAAAGTTTGTTTGTATTGAATTGGATACATTAATAGGCTCCGAAATTTTTTGAAACCGACTGATTTGAAAAAAAATTCACCATTAGGAGGCTACTGGCCTATATCCTATATAGGCCTATGTCACCCAGGCCATAGTTGACACATGTTAACACGAATAATTTTATGGTAAATAAACGTATTTACCTCTCTCGACGTTTCGACTAGGTTGCACTAGCCGTGGTCACGAGCTGACTGGAGTAACAGCGATGTCAATGTAGATAGGTGACAGCAGTTTTTTCTTCATCTACCGTCACTAGATTGTTTAACGAAAATTCGCGACACACAGTTTTGTAAACATTATAATAATCGAACTTTATTTTTTATTCTCTTAGGAATACATTATAAAACATTCAAAAATGACCACACTCTACTGGAAGTGGCTGAAGTGCAAAACACGAAAATAAACACAGCTGTTCATGAAAAAGAAATATTCAATATAATTCTACGACATCGCACTTTGATAAGGTAAGAAATATCAATTGAAGTTAAAGTGAAATATTCGATTTTAGTTTTTTAATTATTTTAACGTAACTGGATAGACACTTAATGTAAATTGTCTATGTCTAAAACCTATATACATGTGCAATTGTGCAGTATTAGACATAATATCATAATATGACTGACACCCATGGTATCTCGTATCCATTGCTATACGGACTAAAGACTGAGGACCAAAGTTATCCTGTAATTTTAGGCAAATTAAAAGTAACTTCTAAATAAAAATATCTATATAATAAGAAAAATATCTATATATTTATAGCAGTTGTCTATTACACATAATACAAGCTCTGATTACCGTGGGACTGAATTATTTATTTATTATTTAGGGTTACGTAGGTATACTTTATTACGAGTATTTCATTATCTTTTGGCAAAATGTGTTCTATGTTCTGTAATATAATCTATCTTGACATCAAAATTAATTAAGACCCGTTCAAAAGTTTAGCATGACTAAACGTTTGAAAAGGTAACAGACTTTTTTATTTATAATATGAACTAGCTACTCGCCCCGACTTCGCCCTTTGTACATGTATTATACATATAAACCTTCCTCTTGAATCACTCTATATATTAAAAAAACTGCTTCAAAATCCGTTGAGTAGTTTTAAAGATTTAAGCATACATAGGAACGGACAGACAGCGACAGCGACATTGTTTTATGCTATGTAATGATATGTACGGGTTTGCTATTCGTGTTCTTATATTCATCATCATCATCGCAGCCCGGACGACGTCCACTGCTGGACATAGGCTCAGTTCTTATATTAATATTTTTATATTTTTCAGATTATGCGGTGATGTTGAGAGTATATTCAGTTTCTCTTTACTCATCAGTTTCTTGAATAGCTCCGTTATTATATGCTTCAGTAATTTTTGCTGTGTCGTAAGTAGTACATATTTGTATAGATTTTTAAACAGACTACGAAAAAAAACAGAGGAGTTTAAAAACTCCATTTTAAACTGTATTTTTTTTGGTATGTCCCTAAAAAATAATGAAATAACTGACCCTTCAACCGAAACACAACTTACAAAGCAAACTGCTTAGTTGCTGCAATTCTGTAAATTCATGCTCACATGTTTCAGTTGTAATGTTTCTGTAATAGTACCTGAACTAACTTCAAGTTGTGTCCTAAATAAACTAAACAAGGAAGGAAATTATTTACATTACCTAATAATTTATTTTTTATAGTCGTGGTGTAGTGGCTTACTATATCTGAATTATGCGCAAGAGATCGTAAGTTCAAACATGACCGACATAAATTCACCTTCGTATTTCTCGATTTTTTTTTATTATTCATATTTCTGACTAAATCTCCAGTGAAGGCAATACATATAATTAATCCGAAAGACAGTGGTAAGCTCGCCCTTTGCCTTAGATTCAAAACGTCCCGAGCGAAACGTTTTTGTATTCTTATTATACAATATTTTCTATTAACATACATTTAATTTCAGGTGATTGAAAAATGGTACGAATTTATGTATAAATCGTTCTTGATTACTACACTATGTCAAACATGGCTTATATGTTGGTATGGACAGAAGTTGCTTGATTCGGTAAGTTATTTTAATTTTTTACCAATTTTTTTTTTGTACCAAATAACCTGCGCCGACACCAAGTAATGGGATGTAATGCAATGATGATGATATATGTAGTTTCAGATCCTATTATACTCACCAAATGCACAACAACACACAAAAGTTCTCTTTGGAATTACTTACTGTATATTTAACTACCTAACAATGTAGACGTTTAAATTGTATTATGATAGTATGTTAATTTATTAACAGGGTGAAAAACTATCTCAAGCATTGTACAACTGCGGTTGGTATTTGGCATCTCAGAAAATCAAGAGAACTATTCACATTATGATACATAGGTAAATATTTAATTATTATAGTACCGCAGAATAACTATTAATGACTTCATAGCTCTCAAAAATATTGAGTTGTTTTTATTTATGAGAGCATAAAGTTTTTAATAGTCTCGCACAACGGCCCAGATGAGAGACTAAATGTGGATAATAGAGTCGAACTTACATTTACATTTATAATCATAACTTTAATCACTAAGAAATAATTTTGTGACTATCTATAATTTTGACTAAATCTCCGGTTACAGCAACACTAATTAAACTAAAATATTAACAAAGTAAATTAATCTGGGAGATGGCTGTACGCTGGCCACTTGCTACGTTGTTTTCAAATTTGTCCAGTGGTGATAATTTTTCACCACCAATGTCTCTACAGACCAAATCTGGTAAGTGGCGCTTGCCGCATTGAATTCAAATTTATCCAGTGGTGATAATTTTTCACCACCAATGTCTCTACAGACCAAATCTGGTAAGTGGCGCTTGCCGCATTGAATTCAAATTTATCCAGTGGTGATAATTTTTCACCACCAATGTCTCTACAGACCAAATCTAGTAAATGGCGCTTGCCGCATTGAATTCAAATTTGTCTAGTGGTGATAATTTTTCACCACCAATGTCTCTACAGACCAAATCTGGCATGTGGCGCTTGGGCGCATTGAATTCCAATTTGTCCAGTGGTGATAATTTTTCACCACCAATGTCTCTACAGACCAAATCTGGCATGTGGCGCTTGGGCGCATTGAATTCCAATTTGTCTAGTGGTGATAATTTTTCACCACCAATGTCTCTACAGACCAAATCTGGTAAGTGGCGCTTGCCGCATTGAATTCAAATTTATCCAGTGGTGATAATTTTTCACCACCAATGTCTCTACAGACCAAATCTGGTAAGTGGCGCTTGCCGCATTGAATTCAAATTTATCCAGTGGTGATAATTTTTCACCACCAATGTCTCTACAGACCAAATCTGGTAAGTGGCGCTTGCCGCATTGAATTCAAATTTATCCAGTGGTGATAATTTTTCACCACCAATGTCTCTACAGACCAAATCTGGCAAGTGGAGCTTGGCCGCATTGAATTCACATCTGCCCATTGGTGACAATTTTTCACCACCTGTCGAATCTGGTATAACAGTCGTATAATATGTAACTATGAAACGGCATCAAATGAATAGAAAGACACACTTTCGCGTTTATAATATTACTAATAAATATAATTTAATATATCATATAGCAATTAATATAATTTGTAATGAAAAATAATATAGTATAATCCACCTCTTATCTTATTTCTATTGACCTTCTTAAAAAAAAATATCCAAATTTTTATACTTTCTCTTTTTAGTGTTTATAACACTAAAAAGAGAAATCTTGAGAGAGATCTTGTATGACTTGTATTTTTTTTATTATGTATTTGTAAAGATATTTCTCACCAAATGTATTAGCAATGGAAAATAAAAGTATATACTCTATGTAGTGTAATTAGTGAGAAAATAAATACTATATTATTATTTTGAATACTAACCGGTACCTTTCTCTTATTTATGAGCAATGTACTATTTTAATTACAGGTCACAGAAAGAGGTATGTGTGACTACGTATGGATTCACGAAAATCTGTTTAGCCAGCTACACGGCGGTAATTTAATTTTGTAAATTAATACCACACATGTTATTTTTTCTGAACATACTTCAAGATGTAGGAGAATTATAAATATTGCTAAAATATTTGAAGGCGATGTCCATTTACATTTACACTTTCATTGTATTATATGAAGTAACTATCGGAAACTGGAATAATGTTTATAATAATAATAATATTTCATGACATCCAAATCCAAAGTAAAACAGAGTTTATGTTATGAGTACCAAATAACTAATATAAATATATAGATATTTTTTTTGTAAATACATATATAATATACGCAGACCCAGACCGATACCAATAATTATACTCATGAATACAAAATTCATAAGTATAATTATTTGTCAGTACCGCGGTGTGCTAAACCGCTAGTCTACCGAGGTCTTGTACATATATTACTCATAAGTATAAGTAGTTTGGAACTAAATATTTATACAAATTATTTTTATAATACTCATTACATTAAAAAAAAACATTATTAATCGTATCTTAAACAAATTTTTTGCTAAATAAATAAGGTTTATGGTGATTTTTTTTATTCTATGCTTAAACTCCATCACCATATCCAAACAATTTTCGAGAATACAGAAAAATAGTAGTCGATGTTCTATTGTAATTGATGTACTCGCTAAACTCACGGTGGTAGGGAATAAAAATGCAACGCACAGCTGTTCATGGGCGGATAAGAATTTTTAAAGACTCTGTTTAATATTTTATTATGTGTAAAGAAACTTTTTTTTTAACAATAAGTATTATTATATTTATTATATCTATATTACGTGAAGCAAAAACGTGCCCCTTTATACGAAAATTGTACGCATGGAGGAGTATAAAGTTTCGCACACTTTTAGTTTATGAAAAGTGCAGAAGACAGTGTATTGTTAAAGTCTGTAGTCAAATTGAGAATAAATTAATATTCTTTAATATAATTTGTCTATAATTATAACTAATTATGGCCGATTTCGATCACTGGGTCGAACACTAGTTCATGTTAATATAATATATTAATTGTTTTTCCCGATCTCCATCTTGTGCTCTATCCGAATATATGTTTTTACTATCTCGTCCTGTCCTTACCAATTTTGTACAGTTCTTCTTTATAATGATCATAAATGTTTTTTTATATTTACAGATAATCAAAACATCTTGGTCGTACTTCACTCTGCTAGTGAATACTTACAAACAGTAGATTTAGAACAAGATTCTTATGTATATAATAATATTATATGTTTATTTCATAATTTCATCTTACAGTTGAGTTTAAATTGCATGCATTGCATGCATACAATTTATATGTTACTTGTTGTACCTTAGAGTAATGTACCTTACAATAAAGAACTTATACTTAACATTTGTTGGTTTATTATTATCCAAAACGACCAAGGAAACTAAAATTATTTGAGTAAATATATTCATGTATATGATACTTGCCTCTTATGAAGAGAATTTTATATTTTGAATACTAAATGTCTTGAGAAATCTTCCTTCTATATAATTATAATATAATGTTAAACATTCAAGTTCCTAGCTCCAGGTGTTTGAGTATTCATTTATAGATCACTAGCTACTCGCTCGGCTTCGCCCGGGTGTACATGTATTATATATATAAACCTTCCTCTAGAATCACTCTATCTATTAAAAAAACTGATTCAAAATCCGTTGCGTAGTTTTTAAGATTTAAGCAAGCAAGCATACCGTGGGGGGGGTGTCAATACATACAGCGACAGCGATTTTATTATATACTATATTGTGAAGTATTCTGCACAAGTAACTTTTCAATACCTTCTATTTATATTCAATTTTTTAAATTCAATACCTTATATTATCCCATATCTGTATTTTTTTACGAATCCCAAAAAATATATAATGAGGGAATATATGCATGTGTTTATGAATGAAATATATAGCGTATGGAGTTGTTAATTATCACTTCGAGCTGCTACATTGTGTTCTAAAAACTATTAATTTATGGGAATGTATAATTATTTGCTGCACTACTTGCACCTAAGCATCTTTAAATACAAGTGAAATCCAATGAATGCCAGCATTATTCCCTTTGTTCATTCAAACGTATGTAATGTAACAGAGTTTATGATGTCTACAAAAAAATATTCATTGAATAAAAAAGAAACTGTTGAAGTGGGAGCAGAGCCTACTGAAAATCGAGTTTGTATATTATTATGTAGACAATATTCATTTTTCACCAACTATTTTCCACCTAATCACCTAAGTATAATACCTTCGTCATACATCAAATACATAATTAATCTAGATTTCATATACTAATTAATCTAGATTTCATATACTAATAGTATATGAAATCTAGATTAATTATGTAATTAATATAATTTTCCCTGCTTATAATATATAAGCAGGGAAAATTATATTAATTACAAAAACCTTGACGTCCATAAGCGGCCAAAATGTCGTACATGAATAAGTAATTTTTTAATTGGAATTCGAATATATATAATTATTGACATATAATGCAAACATATAGTACTGGTAGAGATCACTGTACCTTGAGAAATAAATATACTTAAAGACTATGCAAATAAATATGTATTACGAACTAATAAAAGAATTAATGAAAAACAGTTGTGTGGTTAATTTATATGGAGTCGAAGTGAGAGCGAAAGGTTTACCAGCGAAATGTCTCTACAATTTTCTAAAAGATCTTGGTCTGTCTAGAACTGCAGTAAGTTCTATAGTAGAACTGTATTTAAAGTTGCACTAGAAGCATACCAGATTTGACTGGGCAGAGAGAGAAACACGAGCGGTGAAGGTAAGTATGTATTGTAAATCTCATGAAGTTTATCTCTCTACCCCACAATGGACCCGACTCTCACATGGTGAAATCATAAATCACATATATACAAATGTTTGTATACATATTATACTATATATATATAGGTTACGTCCACCGCAGTGACAAAATCTATCTTCACTTAAGTTCTGGTTAAGTCGTGTAAGGTAACCATCATTTATATATAACTAGCTACTCGCCCCGGCTTTGCACGGGTGTACATGTATTATACATATAAAACTTCTTCTTGAATCACTCTATCTGTTTTAAAACCCCAGCAAAATCCGTTGCGTAATTTAAAAATTTAAGCATAGAAAGAGACAGACAGTAACAGCGACTTTGTTATATATTATGTAATAATAATGATGATGATTAGTATGGATTTATGGTACGATGTAACGAAATTATAACTACAGTAAATGGTAAAAAAATTATATTGTCATAATTTTCTTGTAGTTTCCTCATAATAATTTGGTGTCGGCAAAATTTGTTTTCATACATAATACTATATTATATGTAATTGGAATGATAAACAAGCTGTCAGGTCACCACCAGGTAAGCAGTTATCATGGCTTATATGGTACATGAACAACACTACCGACATCATTAGTTGTTGTGGAATGTTCATAGATACTTTGAAGGTATGTGTTACATAATGAAAAGGAACATTCTAGAATGTTCCTTTTGGGCAGGACACTAAAATATTACTGAAACTATAAACTTACAGTAAAATAAAATTAAATAATTGGCTATATCAGATTATGGTCAAAAAATCAACTATATTTATGTTTTTTTTTCACAGACTTACAGTTTGGATGATTACGATGACACACTGGTGACCTTGAAGAAGATTTTTCTGTTGTTAGGACTGCGTCTAACAAAGAAGGACTCTCCTAATGCCAGGTTTCTTTGATTAATTATTGGGTTTACGTATCCTGACATTTTTTATGCAGGTGATGGGAATGGCTAACTACGTGACAGCTCACTTGATAATAAATGGCAACCGTTGCCTGTATACATGAACACCATGATGGACAGTACGTCGTCATTCGACGACTGTATGCCATGCTGCTGTAGCCAAAAGTTTCATTGCCATATTTCATTATTAAAAGCAATCTTACAATACTGTTTAAAAGTAAAAAATAGAACAATATATTACGTAAAACAGAGCTAGGTAATCCTACACTTATTCTTTACGAGAGGAAAGGAAAGATCCGCTCGCTTCAGGGGTAAAAACCCTATAGTATTCCTCAGCTCCGCAGTATTCTACCGCAATTTCATCGGCGGTTGACCGCGTGTGTCCTCGTCCATCATGTGGGGAGGAAGTCTTGGTTCTTCCACTTCCGCTCACAGTGTGAGATGCATAAGGAATATGGAATGCACCCTCCATATCAAAATACAGAGGGTACATTCCATACTCCGGTACATACACCACACGAAAAAAGTCCCCTGAATCAGATATTCACAGAGCTGCACTCGGTCCGCACCTGTCTCTACAAAGATTGAGTAACAGCAAAAGCGAGTCTCCATGGCGGCTCTTGATGGCCGAGGCGGGTATCACATAGAAAAGGGGATCCATGTCCCGGCCTGCGCCGTTCACCCCATCGAGCTATTCACCATCAGGAAATAATTGCTCTATTGAACAATTATTACCTATCACCTAGTATACACCAGCCTCGAATATTCCAGAACTGACGTCATTCGCCGCGATCGTACCCATTATCATAAATCGAAATGGCAATGTCCGTAATCATCGTGGAGGTTGCCCGTCAGTTACTTCTAGACCTACCTATTCTGGCGATATTGCATGACTCCTCGGTCTACCTCGGTATTCTATGTTACAGATTTTGGTATACCGTATTTTTTTGGTTTCAATTTTTAAATCTTATTATTGCCGTCACGCTGGAAATCGCAGAAATTATACGACAATGTAATGGAGGTACGTTTGACGAAAAAATTGCAAGCCTTGGAATGATACCCTGTGTGGGATGTTCAATGTTGGGTATGTTAATATCTACACATACTTAATATCTATCCATAAATTACGTAATACCAATTTACAGCTTGGCGGCAGATCTAGCTGAGACTAAAGTACTTACCGACATTGGTCTACAAAATTTCCCTCAATTTTTTTTTGTAATTTAAACAACAAAGAAGCTTACGATCCTTCGGCTCGTAGTAGTCGTAAGCATCCATTGCCAATGGTCTGTTGCTTATAATATACATGAACAGCACCAAGGACATCATGTTATGACGTGACGCTATAAGACGTTGTAATACTATTCATACGTTGGCATTGCTGAGGACTTAGATATGTTACCTCCATATCAAATATTTACAACCTTATTTCAACGTTCAACTGAAACATATCTTAAGAAAAAGGTACCCAAATATAGACGATTTATTACAAAGTCAACCTCGGAGTCGCCATTTTTGAGGACTATTTTCACTGCCATATCACATCGTGGGCATCGTCAGGGTTTCTATTTATATATAATAATTATGATTGTAGCAATGATGAAGCTTTACAATCTACCGTTTTGTTTTACACTATATCAGAATTTGATTGATGAATTACGGAGGTTGTGGCCACAGGGTACAGTCAATGAAGACGAACACTACATTATTAGCACAGCTCTCAAACAACTGAAATTTGTTACGAAAGGTATTTGTTTTTGCTTTTTCTTTTTAATACAACGAAATAAAATAAACTTACGCATATTATTTTACTTTGGTTATATATAAAAACTCATTCCATGTGTATTTTATTATTATTTGAACTACATTAACGTCATAATCAGATACGTGAAACAACGTGTACCTACTCGACTGAATAGTCAGAGCTTAGTCAGAGCTCTTCGTTCTCAGACTCTTCATTCGATAAATCAAATAAAACTTACTATAATATTCCTTATTCTAGATATAATAGCGTTTAAAGATTAATGATTACCTTTTCTACCACTACTATACTCATTCATAAACAAAATTTTAAATTTAGTTTTTGTTTTATGTCAAACGATATACAAACTAAAATGTTAGACTGGTAAGAAATCGCGGTATCATCAATTTTTTTACGGAATTTTCTAATGATGTTGACCACTGACATGTATGGCTTTACCGGACTCTATGGGGCGAGTGCAAAAATTTAAAGCTAACTCGTGATAACTGATGGATACGACTTTAATCTAATGACACCACTTGAAATTCGACCCTCAACTCAGCCCGTTGTAATACGATCCGCTTTTGAATTGAACAAAACATCGACTAGAAGGAAAAGTGTTCAACTAGTATAAAATAAATATTCATTGCAGGATATTATACTTCCAACTGGGTTTTAATCATTGGCTGCATTGTGCCGTGTTATATTACAATAATACGAAATCTTTTTGGCCAAAATTTGCCAAAGAGATTAGCATTCTCTTACTGGTTCCCAATGGATCCTTTGCAACCTATTGTATTTGAATTGGTAGTATTAATTCAAACATGGCACAGTAAGTATTATAATTATTATGTTTAGTAGTTTAATAATAGAGTTATAGTTATAAAAATTTATTAATAAAGAATAATATGCCATGTTAATTTTTTGCTTGTAGTAGAGTATATTATATTCTGTAACGTAATAGCTCGTTGTATATCTTAATAATAGTTAAGATATTAATATTATTACATACTAATTATTACCCGAATTACCCGTGATTCCATTTGTTTCTGAGATAAAAGACAGTCATCATTAAAAAAAATATAATGGACAATTAATTTTTATTGATGATAAAAAGTTGCAATTAATTTAAGAGTAGTGGTTTAGCAGACGACTTTACTTCCAATGGTCGTAGGTTCGATTCCTAGCACAATACAAACATTTATATTCATAAATAAGTATCGGTCTGTGTGTTTTCTATGAATATTATGTATTTATTTACAAGTAAATATTTAAGTGTTTTATATCAGCCATTTAGTATCCTAGAACTAAGACTAAGGTCGACCATAGTTTTTTATATTTAGTTGTAAGTAAATATAAATTATATGTATATATATAGTTATATAAGTTAATTCATTAATTTTTAGCTTATCTGACAATCTTGTTTATTGTCACCGGGGATTTACTATTCTTCTTTTACGTAAGCCATACCACTACACAGTTGGACTTGCTGTCGCTTAAAATTCAAAGACTTTTTGCGGTCAGTACGGATAAACAGCTAAATAATTCTTATTCCTTTGGTATGTACCTTCTTTTTTTTATATAGATGATGATAGAATAGTGTACGCTGACGGGGGCATCAGTGAAGCACCAAATGAAGTCAGTCAGCCTATCGTGGACAATTCATCCAAAATTAATTGCAATTATTTCCCGTGGAGGTCATATTAGCAGTGGGGCCATGGGACCACTAAAGTCTATCACAGATTACGGTAGCTTTACCTGTGTTGTTTCTATTGAATTAGTAAAACTCGTTATGTAAAAAAAAATGTTTCTTCTTTAGGCTAAACAAAAATAATACAAAATATTTAAAACATAAAAATACTGATAATGTTAAATAATAAGTATTCAGAGAGTTTATTATTAATATTATTATTAAATTAATATATTGATTATAATATTCACTTTCATTTCAATAAGCTGCAATCAATAACGAAAAATATAAAAATGAACATATGAATGAAGCGCAACGAGAAAATGGATCCCAAGATGACTATCAAAAAGATTTATTGGATGTAATCGCACATCACCGTACTTTGCTTAGGTAAGAAAAAATAATTGCGGTGCGTACTTATTTGACCGACTTCAAAAAGTTCAAAGTTGACAATAGGTCTGTATGTTTTTTGTGTCAAATCAAATGAGAATCTTTTTCTTCGTGTACCTATAAAATTACAATTCTAATTCACTTGAAATCCGGTACGTAGTGTATAGTGCGTGGATGTTGACCTGAATCTTTGCTCTACATTGCTTGCTATGAGGCGACTAATCAGCATTATTAACAATACTATTCAAATTTTGTTTATATTTATTTCTTAACAATCGTATAATTAATATAATTTTTTTAACATACATACAAAATATTCTCCTATTCAAATATGAAGCTAGTGGGTCAATTGTTTTCGATCCCCTCCTTCACCGATGGACTCTAATTATGATTGCTACTCCCTAATGTATTCTAAGATCTGCCTATCTAAACTGAAAGACAGTTTATTAAGCAAGTTAAGTGTTAAGTTTAGTTGTTGGCAGAAACAGGTGTGACAGAGTTATTACGCATATTACTTTATACATAATCCGAGATGGATTATGTATAAAGTAATAAGCGTTATGAATTATTTGATTTCAATGTTTTTATTTAGATAGTATTCGTAAATAATTTCATATTTTTTTGACAGATTATCTGCAAACATTGAGAATCTGTATGGTTTCCCGTTGCTTTTCAATTTCATGAATAGCTCCGTCATCTTGTGCTTTTGTACTTTCTGCTGTGTGGTAAGTACCTAAAATTCTAAACTTCTATTGTATTAGATATTTATAATTTTGTGTGTAACGGTGGTAATTAAGCCTCCGAACCGGCATATAAAGGCTGCAGACATACAATCATCAGGTCGTCGAAAGATTTTGAACTTATTTTCAATTCGTGTCGGATATGATATAAAATATATTTTATATCAGTGTATTTGTATAATTTTAGGTGATTGAGAAATGGTACGAATTCATGTACAAGATGTGTGTGGTTACTACGCTATGTCAAACATGGCTTATATGTTGGTATGGGCAAAAGTTGATTAATTCGGTAAGTTAATTATTTTAACTTTTACGATTTTTTTTATTTGCTCGCATGTTGTAAACATTTGTATTTATAAGTGGGATTGTTTCTATATATATTATGTATTTACAAAAAAATGTATTTAAGTATTACTATGTATTGTTAAGGTTATTATTATTCTTATATCTCGATTATAAATGAATATTGAAATATTAATTAATTAACAGGGTGAAAAAGTATCAGTTGCGTTGTACAACTGCGGCTGGTATTGTGCTTCTCATAAAAACAAAAGGAATATACAAATAATGATGCGGAGGTATGTATAACTGTAATAGTCGACACCTTTTTAACTGAAACATCGGAAAATTTAATGATTCTCTTCTTACTATTAATACAGAAGGATCTGTATTAATAGTAAGAAGAGAATCATTCAATTCTTATAATCAACTAACATAAATGCTGACACCTTCATGGAAGAGGTCCACTGGTCGAAAGGAGTGGTGTATCTGCACTACCGTGGCAGATTGCCGTAATCAGTTCCATGACCACGACGACAATTTATATTTATATTTTAAAATTATTTCATATGTATATCAGTCTATAAGGTATCTATAATATAGACCAGAATTAATTGAATAAAATAAATTACAAACAGTTCTGAAACAAATACTCCAATTGCTTTTCTTGAATCGCTGAAACAAAGCTGCAAGTTTCCTTGCAAAAGATTTTTAGTTGGTTAGTATGGATTTTTTATAACACGTAATAAAGGTATACGTTTTTTGCAAAGGCTGCAATTATTATATGTACGATTTATTTTTTTATTCAATGAATACAGTACAAACTTATAGCTAATATTTTGGCACGTTTAAATCTTAAAACATAATGTACGTAATCATAATTAGAATTATATAATAATAACACTTACAGGGCGCAGCAACAGTTATGTGTGACCACCTACGGCTTCGCAGTGATCTGCTTAGAGAGTTACACAACGGTAATAGTATCCTATTGTCTGACTAGAATAACAAACAAATTTACGACATTTTTTCGTCCTATACTAATGTTTTTGGCCTTTACAACTTTAGTGCCTGAGAACAAACCTCCCTGGTGCATAAATTTGATGGCTAATCTGATCGTAAATGGTAACTGTTACCTACGGCTAAACAGCAGCACGGATATACAAAGGGCATTCCAAACATCAAAAAGACTATGGAGCGGCTGAAAACCAAATTTTGATCTTCCACAAATTTGATGGCCCGTGTGATGGTATAAACATGAACAGCACTACGGATATCACGTCATCATGTGACGCTCGTGATAGGTACTACTCATGTGTTGCTGTTCTGGAGTACATAATGAATATATTGACATAGAGACACTGTCAGCTATCAACGTTGTGGTAAAGGTAATACTTAACGTGCCTATATTTAACTCAGTGTTTTTAATCCAACGTGGTTGGACGCGAACCGTCTGCTTTCTCCCAGATTAATTTGGTGATTTGTTATTGCTATTTCCTTTACCGGAGAATCAGTCGTCTAGTCTTAGTAGCGTTAGTATACCAGTAGGCCTCGATGCTACCAAACTCAACATACTAATTTTAAAAATATAGAGTAGTTTTATTATGTAGGTAATATCTGAAACCCGGATTACTGAGATTCTTACAGGAAAGCAGCTTGTGTAAGCAAAACTAGTCAGTTATAGACCTAGATATATAAATATACAAGACGAAATCATGTAGACATTTATAAAAGAAAGAAAGAAAATAACTTTATTTGGTACACATAACAATAATAAATATAATTTTAATTTACATATTGGATTATGCCAATTAGATGGTACCAAATAGATCTCCACTCAGCATATGCCGTGACGGGGTGCCACGACGCTGGTACTCTGCGGATACCGTCCACCATTCTTCTTCCATTGATTATTGTATCAAGAAAGATCCAAAGTTTGAACCTTTTTCTTTTATTTAATGATCGTGTCGGTCGAGTCCATTACAGCAAGGAGGTTAAAAATATTAATCGAAGGAATAAACAGCACCACGCGGACAAAGTCGCGGCTATTAGCTAGTATGGAATATTATTTTTAACAACATATAATACTTCTTTTCAGATCATCAAAACATCCTGGTCCTACTTCACTTTAATATTTAACGCTTACAAAATTAATCAGAATAAATGAAAAGTAATAATTATCAACTTATATGTTATAAATAACCATAATATTGTTGTTAATTAGATTATTTTGCTTTTACTTAAAAAATGTACTTACACTAATTATGTAATAACTCATAAGAATGCAGTTACCAGTACTTAACAAATTATTAGGGTGAATATAATAAATATTAAAATAAAATGAAAAATAGAGTTTTATTTAAAGATTTTTTGGTATTTTGATTTAAAATATACCTGTAACAAAGTGAACAAAACATTTAAAATGTTGTTTAATTGTTTCTTCAAATTGTAAATTGTAAATTTTTACGTTTCAATATGGATTATTATAAAAATAAAATAGGCAGATCTGAAAATAAAAACAGTAAGAAAGGAAGTAACTTACAAGTGCATCGGATACGATACTCTTTTGTTATATTTACTTCATTACTTCATTACATTGCTCTATTATAAATATGGAGAGGATTTCCTAGGGTTAACATAATCCTTGTACTCAAATAGTAAATTAATAAAAGAATTCATATTATATGAAAATATTAACGCATTTTTATATGTAAAAATTTTATAAAATGTATTACTAATACTTATTACTAAATATAATTTTTAAAAAATCATCAAAGTCGTCCTTGTGGGTACCCAGGTAAGCTGAAGGTATGTTTCATTTCAGTTTCCAAATAGCTCGCTGTATAGGCGAAGCAGAGTTTTGGTTTAAGATGTGGCAGGAAAACTACAGGGTATAGAGGCAAACCATCATAGTTCATAGGGCCGTATGATTGTTTGCCACCACTGTAGTATAAAAACATGAGGGTTATTATGGTTGTTATATGAAGACGATGGTCTGTGGTGCTCTTCATATACGCAGGTGAATGAATGCCACTTACCACCAGGTGGCCGTCCGCTTTGAGACATTTGAATTAAACTAGAGAGTGACAACCCTATTATTCTAAAATAGTCTATGATTGTGTCTATGGATCAAGATAGCATTCTAATTCATGTAATGTATGTTTATATTATTATGTATTACGCGTATACATAATTTGTAGGTAATGTAAATATTTACTACTATAACACAGTTATGTTGAGGAATTTAATACAATAGCATTTAGTTCTCTCTGCTTACCCTACAGGATCTGAAAATGACGAGAGATATGGAAATATTAGAAATTGTAAACAAGCGGTCCTACTAATGAATAATATTTGTAATAATAATAATAAGCTGTGAAAACAAAACATAACAATAATAATAGTCTCAGGACAATTCACACAGCGCCATCTAGACCCAAGTTAAGCTAGGTAAATTATGTGTTATGGGTACTATTCAACCGATATAAATACATAGATTTTCATTTTTTCGTAAATACATACACATTATACATAGAAAACATACAATCATACTTATAAATACAAATGTTTATCCCGTGCGAGGAATCGAACCCGCGACCATCGGAAGTAAGGCGGTGTGTTAAACCGCTAGACCACCGAGGTCGTCAATAATAAAGTTCTTAAATATTTATGTAACATACAAAGTCTCAGGATATATCCAGATTATCCAGAACGTCTATAGAAAGTTGCTACAGACAACATAATATTACATACTATACAGGACTTGTCACTAAGATCATTTTTTCGACTGAAGCAGAACGATAATGTTAAATATCATAAAGTTATTTGATGGAATGAAAAACAATTTTACTATTTGAATTCAACATTGTTCCTGATGAAAATAGGTAATAAAATATTTTCAATAACATTAGGGATCCCTATGAAAACTTAAATAAAGCAATCCAATCCAAAAATACCAAAAATATCCATATAACGTACACTGCAGAAATTATTGACAATTTTATACAGGACATATTTATTTATATAAAATAACTGCATAAAATGTTAAATAGCTGAATATGGTTATTTTTCTATTAAAATCTGTCATAGAGAGGAGAGGCTAAGAATTTTTAAATTGAGAAATGTCTGATCTGAGTTTGACCTAGAGTCTCCTCCTATGTGGAGAAAAAATATACCTATTGAACAAATATATATTTATTGAATAGGTATATGTGTCTCCTCTTACATATAAACTACGCACCGGATTTTCTATAAGACAGCACTACGAACATCACAGAATATCCTACATTAATAAACTATTTTTGATTTGTATGTTATAAGTTCAATTCTATCCGACTAACAAAAAAAAACTTTTTGTCAATTTATCTCTGGCATTACAGAAACACCGTATGTGTAGTACGTAACAACTAAATATGCTTAAATCTTTAAAACACTTTAAAACAGTCATGTGTTTTTTCTTTAAATTGGCCAATTGCGAGACAAATTTGACAATATTTTTTATTAATTTGTTTCACGGCTCTGGATGCAAGTTCTTTTTAGCCCAACTTAAAGTTTTACAATATAAATTACAAAAATTAAAGTCAATGTCCAATGTCAAATGTTGTTTCTCTTTTCTGATGAACTTATTAAAAAAAACTTAATAACACTCACAATTTCTTCACATTTTATTATTACACACATATTGCCAGGTATTTGCATTTTTTTAAATAAGGTTGAGGCACTATTGGAAATTAATGTTATTTACCCATTTTTATAGGTTATACGGAAATAATGTGTGGGTGTTTATTTAAAAAGCATTAACACAAAATTAATGAAATAAAGGTAGGTATTAATAAATATATGGTTGTTGTATCAAAATAAATTTTGTTATTTTTCACTAAAATAAAGACCAACTGCCTTTTTTATAAAACAAATGACCTTTTCATAGTGTCATATATTATTTAACAGATTGTAAGAAAAAAATGTTGGTTTGTAAATTAATACTGTAAAAATTACTATTTGTACGGAAACGACAAAAATATATTTTTATTCTGTATAACACTACGACAATAGTGGAAACATTAATATATTTACGTAAATTATAAAATTCTGTTATGGAAACGTCATATTAAACTTTAAAACGAATTTGTTCGAATAAAAGTTTCCGATTAAACAAATCGGTATGGCTACCCCGATACAGGTGGTAAAACTTTTTTTTTGTTTTGTTTATCCTCAATCGGAAAGGCAAAGGGAACTGCGCCCATACAGCCGAGGTGGTAACATTATTTGAAAATTTGACATTTAAACCTGTCAATGTAGTCTCCCGGATTAAAAAACAAACTATAACCAAGTATGGCCCTTATAAATTAATTACTAAGCTACTTGGTGTCCCTGTAGCCCCAAGCCCCGCATGTTTATGGGGGCGCGGGGTGAGAGGGAAGGTTGAAAGGAAGAGGAAATGGATAGGAAAAAGAGGAAGAAGGGGAAAAGGACGGTGGGTGACGATCGACGACGGACTACGAACTCGGCAAATCCCGGAGAGTTGCGCGGACTAAATAAAATAAACAATGAAAATGACGATCAAGAATGGGATGAAGCTGTTTGGATGAAGCAATTTGTTTTAAATAGCTGGCAAAGTAGAGAGTGCTTAAAACAAAGAGGTTAACAGAGAATAAACCTTAAAAGTTATATGTTTTGTTAATTTATTTTGAATGTCGATTTAAAATAAAAATTATTTGTAGAAATACTTTTGCACTTATCATTTACTATAGTATTTATTAAACACAATGAACGAAGCTTTACGAATGCCATGCCTTGCTTACCTTTAATATTCTTTGAGAACCGATGACTACAGAAATATCTACCCGGGCGAAGCCGGGTTTTCATCTAGTGTATATAATATATGTACATCCGGGCGAAGCCGGAGCGAGTAGCTAGTATAATATATAAAGTGAAGAATACCAACACAATTTCGTAACAATTCGAAGAATGGTAGACTTGAACATCGAAACCTTTGCGCTCGTTGAAATCGATGTCTTATGAAGAGATTTTATTTAACTCTATGCTTTTAATATATAAATATAAACTCCATAACCATATCCAAACAATTTCAGAGAATATAGAAAAACAGCACTCGATGTTCTATTCTAATTGATAGTCTCGCTAATCTCAAGGTGATAGGGAAAAAAATTGTACCGCACAGCTGTTTATGGGCGCACAGCTGTTTTTAAATCATCTTTTTATATTTTATTACCTGTAAAGATACTTAATTAAAAAAAGTTAATCTTTTTGCCATAAATAGGTACTAATATCACTATAAAAAATATGGGTTGGACCACCCAGATATATAAAAAATAGATAACTATCTACCTACCAAACCTATCGCGAATACGTATAAAATTTCATTAAAATTGGTTCAGCCATTTCGGAGAAGTTTTGCTACTTACTCTGTGACACGAAAATATTATATATTAGACTATATAATTGGTTTTTACCGACCTTCTTTTTATGCTCTTACAGAATACATGTATAAATTTTACCAACTTGTCCTATTACCAATTTCTTCTTGTTACCAATTTTATATAGTCCTCCTTTATAATAATCATAAATGTTTTTTATACTTACAGATCATCAAAACATCGTGGTCGTACTTCACTCTGCTAATGAATACTTACAAACGACAGATTTAGAAGAAGATTCTTACGGATAATAATAATATATTAATACACACTCACACTGACATACACACACAAACACACTGCACTTATATGGTTTCCGGCTCTAAGTGTGGTATATGCCACAAAGCTTAAAAATCTGCGATAACACAGAAAATGAGACAAAACTTACTATTAGCACAGGTAACATAATATTACATAGGTACCATTAGTGTCTACGAAATTTCGTAATTTCATTTTGTAGTTGAATTCAAATTGCATAATGCTAGCAGACTTGTAGTTCAATATTTCTTACAATTTAATTGCAGCAAAGAATATGTTATTTGTATATTTAAATCTTATAGAAATGTACCTACCTTCCTTATAATGATAAAATAATAATAAAGCACACGTACTGTTTAATATTTGCTTGTTTATCATTAACAAAATCCACTAAGTAAACTAAAGTTATTTGAGTCAGTATGCACGTGTATAGCTACGATACTTGCGTCTTATGAAGAGAAAAATATTGGAA